AGGTGTGCCCATGTGCAGCAGGGGAGGGACAGAGAGAAGGGGAGAGAGAGGATCCCAAGCAGGCTCTGCACTGTCATCACCGAGCCTGACTCAGGGCTCCATCTCATGAACTGTGAGATCATGACCTGACCCCAAACCAAGAGTCAGAAACTTAACCGACTGAGCCACCCAGGCACCCCAACAATTGTGTTTTTTAAACAAATTCTTTCATGTATCATGAATGTGTAAAGCACATGATAATGGAACTGCTCTGCCTGAAACTTGCCTGGTTGGCCTTTATCTTCCTCCTAAGGTTGACGTCTCCATCTCCTCAGAACATAGGTTGGAAGCCTCTCTTCCGTAAGAATGACAGACACTCACCTTTTATTGCGAAATGAATGTTATACATTTACATGATTACTGGTTGAGAATTTAACTGTACAATTCATCATCTGCAAAAACACCGTTTCTCTAAATTCTGAAGTACGTCACTGACCAAGTAGAACTAAAAGCATTACATACTTAAGTTTCATCTTGGTGCCCTTCTCTCTTGTCTTTGTTAATTAACGGTCTTATGTTTGAATGAAAGGTCTTGGTGCCTTTATTTATTAATGTTTTTATGTATTCTAATCTATTTTTTATTTAATACATTTATTATCTAATTCATTACTTTTTAAATTTATTTATTAATGTTCTTTATTTAGCTCATCAGTCAAAACCCTCGTTGCCTCCCATGTAACACTTCACCTCAGTTTTTTCTGTATCTGTTTCATTTTGTTTGTTTTTCTTTCCTCTCTCACATTTAAATACTCCTTGATTTACATCATACGTAAACTTCTAAAAAAAAGCACTGACATTTCTCTCTGGTTAGCATCGTTTATCTCTAGTAGATTATCTAGCCTGCACCCACCTGTCTGTGGTTTGATCTTGCTAACATTCACTTGTCAGTTTATCCGATTTTATTTTGACTTGAAAGTTGGGGCAAATTTCCCTGACTAGTAAGGGAATCGGGGACTATCCTCCCATGATACGGCTTACCAGGCTTCCTTTGCAAAATGTTGATTACGTAAGTTATTTAAGCCAAATACGAATACAATTTTTTAAGTCTAATTTGTTGGGCGCCTGCAGGGCTCAGTCAGTTAAGCTTCTGACTGTGTTTCAGCTCAGGTCATGATCTCATGGTTTCATGAGTTCGAGCCCCGTGTTGGACTCTGTGCTGACAGTGCAGAGCCTGCTTGATATTCTCTCTGCCTCTCTCTCTCTCTCTCTCTCTCTCTCTCTCTCTCTCTCTCTCTC